TCAACTGTAGCGTCTGGTATAGACACGGTGAGTGAAGCTGAGAGCAAGATATGCCTTGTCATATTTTCTGCATTTAGCTTTTAAATGACCAGCACCTGCCTGGGTCTGTGCGACTTCATCTATGGCTTTTCTCTTCCCTTTCACAAACCGATCCATCTCCCATTCTAAGTTACGTCCTTTGGCTGTTTACTGTTTTATTTCTTTTCTTTTTCTGCTGATGGCCCGCGCTCGATTTGAAGCAGCGCTGCTTAGACCGATGGGTGTGTGTCATCAAAGTACTGCGAGAGCTACAAGAGAGCGGACGTCTCCTTATGCTTTCTCTCGCCGTACTTTGATGTCATACACCGATCTGATCTTCAAGTCGAACATGCCTCTTTAGTCTCGCGTGTCACGTGACCGTGTAATCGCAGCCTCTGCGATTGAAAAATCGCGTTATTTCATATCGCGATATTATCGCAAATGCAATTAATCGTTCAGCCCTAGTGATCACTAACACAAATTATTGAAATAAATGATTCCAACATGAAAATCAGCTAGTTCTGAACACATCAAGCATCTGTTACCAAAGTTATTGTAAGAAAAAATGCTAAATGAAAAATTAAAAGGAAAAAACAAAACAATGAAAGTTATTCCGTTTTCATCAATAACTAAAAACCAAAAATGACTCACAGAAAGCTTAATTTAAGAGAAATCTAGTTACTTTAACTTACAACCTTTAATCTAGGATTTAATTGTTATTTTTTAATAAAATAAATAAAATACAATCAGATTTACTTTATTATAGACTTCAAGGATTTAATTCATGATTAATTGTCATTGTTTTTTTTTTAATAAAATAAGATGAAAATTAAACAGCAAGATAAAATAAAAAATGGGAAAGATAAAAAATAAGAAAAACTAGAACACAATTAAATAAGATTTAAATAATTGTTAAATTAAATAAAAATTAAATAAGATAAAATAAAAAGTAAAAGCTAAAATAAAATAAATGTTTTATTCAGACATGTCCCTTTTTTTCAGGACTGCTTATGAGAAACAGGAATGAGAACTTGCAACTCTGACCTATAATCAAAGAATGTTGGAAATCTTGTATTTAAGATATTTACCTGAGCATTAGCCAAGACGCTGAGGTAAGGCTAGCATCCAATAACCACATAATAATGGCATTACTTGACACAAGAATCTGACCTCAGTGTCTGACCCGTCACTTAGGGGTCGGTCTAGATGACACAGCTCTAATTTGTTTGGGAAACTGCTGGTCAGTGCTATTATCTAAAATTAGCCTCCTCCACGCATCGCCTTCCAAATACCATTAACATTCCTTGCTATCTTCTCTTTAATGGAAGCAAACACACACTCAGCAGTTGGAACTTTAACTAGTAGGTAGAATAATAAAATGGAAACAGTAAGTTAGATAAGATGGTAGATAAGCCAGAGCTAATGGAGGAAACACAGATGTTTACTGTGAGAAATGTGCTAGCTCTGGGCAGGCTAAAATTGTGA